TTATTTAGGCTGGAGATTAATTAATAGCTAGTGAACGACATTATTTTGTGGAAAAGCGATGCATGCGCAAATGGACTACCGTACCCGTAGCCTCGAGACATTAAGATACCGCTACCGTCCCCGTAGCCCCTGCGAACAAAAATACATTTGATACCTCTGCTATAGTTTGCAACATCACAAAAACGGCAATTTTCGTGCCCATCCGAGGACGGTTAACGTTTTCCGAACATTCCAAGAACATAACTCTCTCACCAAGTAAAACCAATAAATGCATAACGATATGGGAATGTTCTTAGAATATTTTTGGCTAATGTAACCAAACTAGAACCTCCAGCGAATGTTACGAGAATGTTCCGTGTTTGCTGGGATGGAATATGTCTCAATAAAAAAGGTAAATAAACACGAAATGTATTGTAAGGCTGGTTTTCGATATGTCTCGTACTCGTCGATCAGTGAGCGTAGACAGTGATAGTCGGTGTATAATATAGGTCATATAGACGGGTTTATTCTAATTCATATGCGACTCCATACACAAACACAACCACCGTACGCGGGTGCCACACCTATCCTCTCGAACATTCTTGTTTTCGCCTTTTCAGGTCGAACATTCAGGTCGAACATTCGCGAACATTCAGGTCGCGGCCTGGAATCTCATTATGCCGTGATGACGCACTGCATGTCCATTGCCCTATCAGGAGGTTTAGCTGGCCGTATTGATTAGTCCCTTATGCTAACCGGTGCAAACGTGCCTGGAAGGCTGGACATGTTTTGATGAGTCATCCTATTTCGCCATCGTGGTGCCGTCGTGGTGCAATCCTTCCAGTTCGATCGACGACCAGCATGACTCATTGCCCTGTGGCGCAATCTTATATTGTATAGTATTAGTATTACTGTGCCACAGTATTTACTACCAAATACTCTCTTTGGTACCAAATACCAAATACCAAATTACCAAATACTTCTCTACTCTCTTTCGCCTATTATTGCCGATAACTTCCTGTAAATGCCGTTCAAATGCTTCTCTGCAACACACGACTACACCGCCCGCACGCCGCTGTGCACAAACAACACATATTATCAGGAGTAAATAATGACAAAAAAATTCCTTAAATTTGTCATTATTAACTCTTGATATTATTATAATTATTATAGTTTAGTGCCCGAGATGCGTGATGCCATCCGGGTACCCTGGGTCTGGCGTGCTTCTAGCACTGAGAGTAGTGTACGCAACTCAAACACTCAGTGTAGAGCACGCCAGACCCAGGGTACCCGGATGATATTGATGTAACCAAGAGTACATAATAGAGATTGATGTAATTGTCTCCCATTATGTACTCTTGATGTAACCTACATATAGGGGTAATATAGGTAGTAATAATTTTAGCCAGTTCGTAGTAAGCCAAGGCGTTGTGTGAGTCACAGGTCCCCGGGTCCATTTGTTGGGGGAAAATCGATGAAATCTCGAGTGGGGCAGTGTGGCGCTCAATGCTGGTTCAGTCTACGTATATGAACAGGCCGGCGCCGGAAGCAGTTTTGGATTGGGGGGGGGCAAAGACGCTAAGTGGCTCACCGATTTTTTTTATGCGTGTGTGCGTGAGCGCGTGTGGCGCGAGCATTGTGGTGTGCGTGAGCGTGTGTTGTGTTTGAGCGCGCGGTGTCGTGTGCGTGAAGGCGGTCGGGCCGTGTGTGCGACGTGTGTTCGCGTGTGGCGTAGCGCGTGTGTGGCGTGAGCGCGTGTGTGCGACGTGTGTGGCGTGAGTGCGGGTGTGTGAGTGCGTGTGTGCGCACGTGTGTGCGTGAGCGCGTGGTGTGGCGTGAGCGCGTGTGAGCGGAGCGCATGTGTGGCTGAGCGCGTGTATGCGACCGTGTGTGCGTGTGCTGACGTGTGTGCGTGAGCGCGTGTGTGCGATGTGTGTGCTGAGCGCGTGTGTGTGATGTGTGTTGGGGGCTGAGCGCGTGTATGCGACGTGTGTGAGTGAGCGCGTGTATGGCGACGTGTGTGCCGTCGTGCGAGCGTGTGTGCGTGAGCGCGTGTGTGCGACGTGTGTGGCGTGAGCGCGTGTGTTGGCGGCGTGCTGTGCGTGAGCGCGTGTGTGGAGACATGTGTGCGTGAGCGCGTGTGTGCGGACGTGTTGTGCGTGAGCGCGTGTGTTCGGCGTCGTTGCGTGAGCGCGTGTGTGCTTGAGCGCGTGGTGTGTGACGTGGGGTGCGTGAGCGCGTGTGGTGCGTGAGCGTGTGTGTGCGTGAGCGCGTGGTGCGTGAGCGCGGTGTTGTGCGTGAGGGCGAATGCTGTGCTGAGCGGGTGTGTGTTGATGTGTGTGCGTGAGGCGCGTGTATCGCGACGTGTGTGTGTGAGCGGCATGTGTGTGACGCGTGTGTGCGTGAACGGCGTGTGGGCGACGTGGTGTGCGCTGAGCGCGTGTATGCGACGCTGTGTGCGTGGCGGCGTGTGTGCGTGAGCGCATGTGTATGACGTGTGTGGCGTGAAATGCGTGTGTGGCGACATGGTGTGCGTGAGCGCGTGATGCGTAACGTGTGTGCGTGAGCCGCGGTGTGTGCATGAGCGGCGCGTGTGCGACGGTGTGTGCGTGAGTGCGTCGTGTGTGGACGTGGGTGCGTGAGCCGCGTGTGTGTGACGTGGGTGCGTGAGGCGCGTATTGTGCGGGCGTGTGTGGGCGTGAGCGCGTATGTCGCGGCGTGTGTGGCATGAGGCGCGTAATGTGCGGGCGTGAGCGTCAATGACACGCAAACGCGGCGCAGGCGAAAACTATAAGAATGGATGTATAATTAGTTTTTTGACGTTTAGAATTAAGTCTTAGGGCTCGCATGACACTTTATTTTTTCTTGTCCACTCTTCTTTTTTTTTGGGGGGAAGGCGGTTTAGTTTTGCCGCCCCCCGCCCACTTTTTTGGATTGGGGGCGGCCGCCCCCCTTGCCCCCCCCACTACCGGTGCCTCTTCCGGTATATGTACATTGTATTCTGTGTACGTGTACACGCACGCATGTGTACGTGCACACACACACACGCACGCACGCACGCACCTGTACGTGCAGACGCGCGCACGTGTACGTGCACACGCACGCACACACGCACGTGTACGTGTACACGCACGCACGCACGCACGCACGCACGCACGTGTACGTGTACACGCACGCACGCACGCACGCACGCACTCTTACGTGCACACGCACGCACGCACGCACGTTTACGTGCACATGCACGCACGCACGCACGTGTACGTGCACACGCACGCAAGCACGTGTACGTGCGCACGCCCGCACGCCCGCACTCTTACGTGCACACGCACGCACGCCCGCACGTTTACGTGCACATGCACGCACGCACGCAAGCACGTGTACGTGCGCACGCCCGCACGTGTATGTGCACACGTACGCACGCACGCCCGCACGTGTACGTGCACACGTACGCACGCACGTGTACGTGCACACGCACGCACGCATGACGGATGTGTACGTGCACACGCACGCACGCACGCACGTGTACGTGAACACGCACGCACGCGCATGCACGTGCACACGCACGCACGCACGCCCGCACGTGCACGTGCACACGCACGCGTTCACGTGTACGTGCACACGCACGCACGCCCGCACGTGTACGTGCACACGCACGCACGCCCGCACGTGTACGTGCACACGCACGCGTTCACGTGTACGTGCACACGCACGCACGCACGTACGTGTACGTGCACACGCACGCATGCACGCACGGCCGCGCGCACGTGTAGGGCCTACGTCCACACGCACGCACGCACGCACGTGTACGTGTACGTGTACACGCGAAGACTGTATCATTACAACGACACAGATGCATTCGTATGTGTACTGTACGGTCGAAAGACGAAATATTTTGTTACAAATGACCCGACTCAGGAGATTTCGTGGCTAAATTCGCGCATGCGCAGACTGTAACGACGAACCATATAGTGTTGTGTATACCAGAGCATATAAATCAACTGAATATAACATATAAATCAGTTGATTTATATGCTCTGCTGATACTCTATAGAGCTCAGGTCACAATATATAGTCTCTATTACATTTCTATATGACCCTTCTATGGCCGGTAGTATATATATAGCATAGTATATAGTATATAGTATGTAGTAGTAGCTAGTATATGCGGTAGTGGGAGTGGGTAGCGTGGTGGTCACGTGTCGTATGACGGCCACTGATCTCTATAATATAATCTTATTAATTATTATAATAATTATAATAATAATATAATATAATAATATAATATAATAATATAATATAATAATATAATATAATAATAATTATATTATTATAATGATTATATTATAGAGATCAGTGTCAGTGATGACGGCACGTCTGTGGTCTGTCTACGTCTTAAATCAGTGACGCTAGATGGCAGCAGGCAACAGAAACATTGGAAAACACGATTTCATGAAGGTTTTTACCATCGTCTTAAAAAATCCCTAAATAAGTTTCTTGGCTACATTGAATGCGGATGACAAAGCCTATAAGTTTGTAAATGATGTGCGGAACAACCAACAAACAATGAGGAGTTTTACCAGCTTTAAAATAATGGATATGGGGTGAAATTCTCAAAGCTGAACCGCAAAAAAGGAAAACACCATAAACTCGTCTTCTGCCTCAGTGCCTGCCACTCGCGAATAAGGTAGCTCTTTTCAAACAATGCTTGAGTCTGAACACATGTAGTTGTCATAAGATATTCGAATCAAACACGAGGGGGAGCGGTAAAGAGAGTAAGTGTCACTTATTCCATCTGGATTACTCACATGGCAGTTGCGGCCGTTGTTTTTGTCACTGCATGACTGATGACACTGACAGTAGGATCAAGTCTCGACTCTACCCCCCCCCCCCAACCACCACCACCACGCGGCCAAGACACACTGCAGCGACAGCGACCGACCGTAACGACAAACGACTTCAGAAAATTAGAAACTATTGTTTCCTATGAGCCATATTGCACACACACGCGACAACGACCGGCGACAACCTCGATGACAAAAATATGTAGGAACGTTTCTATTCTCCAGCGACAGTCGCGAGCGACACTTTACAAATAGCCAATCGCAGCCGTTTCCATCGGCACGTGACATAACGATCACGTCATAAATAACCCATAATGCTAGCCAAGACGTAGACTGGTCTCCGGTGCTAAACTCGCGCCGCATGTCACAAACAATGGGGCCGCAAACCAGTCTAACCAAAGCGTGCAGGCTGTGGCAAGCTAGACACAGTACGTACAGTACATGATAATTTGCTACGTATATTTTACTTTATTATCTTAGGCGGTGCAGCACTGAGCACACGCACGCATGCGTGGACACTTAATAATAACATATACAGGGGCAGATCCAGGATTTTTGAAAGGAGGGTGTCCAGGAATAAATAAAGGGCACTTTTTCCTGGTGTTTTAAAAAGCTGCCGAAGGCTACTTCGGGGGGACCTCCCCCAAGAAATTTTTTTTTAATTGGTGTGGCATTCTGAGAGCATCGGAGCAGTAATTTTGATGTCTAGAATGAAACAAAATCATCAGATCCGGTCCCCCGGACGCCTCGCAGACCCCTATTTGCCCATTTGTAGGTTTTTATAACGAATTTATATATATATAAGTAAATTTTATCAGAAAAACTAGCCCTAACAAAATTAGGATGAACTTTTTTAGGGCACTTTGAAATTAAAGGGGGGGGTCCGGACCCCCTGGACACACTAGACGATCTGCAGCCGGATATACGCGCGAAGCGCGAACAGCGCCGCTTTGACTCGAATTTCGCTTGCTCCTCTACTTTAGAAACATTACCGACGGCCTTCTGGGTACTACAGAAAGCCGGCATAATCGGTTCAACTTCGAGGAGTTGTGGCGACATGCAGAAGTCTTTCGACTTTGCACGTAGGGCAGAGAATAAATCCCAAATGCTCGTTATTTGTTGCGTGTGTGGCTCGCCGCGCGTGCTCCTTATTCGCTGTAGAAAAAATAATTTCCCTTTTCGCTGTGCTTCATGCCCTGACATATAATTGGAAGTTATCTTCCGAACCCATAAGATGGACGCAACGAGTCCATCTAACGGTACCCATTTTCAAGTTTTTAAAAAAAAAACCGCTTGGCTCGACCTTAAGACGTGCGCCGCGGTGCCCACAGTTTGACACGCTCAGCGAATAACTCACTTCATGCTAGCCAACGATAGTTGCCTGAGTGATAGGTCGGTAGCCGTCTAACGCCCTTCAATCCGTCCATTACCACTCCGCATCTTTTCGATAATCCATTCTTAACGCACCAATGTTGATGTATCTGATGTTGCCATTATGATTATCACGATGCTTATCTGCGGACTTCTGGAAAAGCTCAGCCTTCGTGGCCTGGCTCAGCGCGTGGCACGTGGCGTCGTGGCTATGAGAATTTACTTCAGTCTCATGTTGTGATTATTCGCCAGATGACATAAGTTCTCTTCAAAGATGTTGGATGAGTATTTCTTTGGAAATCGTTTGGAGAGCGTACGTACAGCCATTTTGCATATATTACATCGTCCCAGCGTGCTGCTGTATAGCAAAAACTTTCTTACCCCTGCGGTCGCAGGCGGGGGGCCCTGATTGCTTTTGTGCCGGAAAAACTCTCGCCAAAAAAACTTGGGAACTCGGCCTGCCCATCGCACTTACCCTTGATCTGGTGAACCCTACTATATTATACAGCTGCCAGCTCATCCATAGCTCCTACGACAACGACAACGTCAATACACACGTAGTATATCTTAAACGCCTAGGCAATACCTGCTTCTTTGGAGCTAGTCGAATCTATGATCTTGCAGTGCAGCCTTGAATCTTGAGTGCAGACTTGCAGTCCTCCATACACTGATTATGCTACAGTCTTGTCGAGCTATTTTACATTATACTATCATTATCATAGTGACGGGAAGTTGTTGCTAGTGTACGCGCACTGCTGCTATACTGATCCAAGTATAGACTGATATAGCTGAAGGACTAGTATAGTAGTGTTTACTGGACAACCTGTAAATTAACTCCATATCTACAACTTAATTCATAACGGGCTCATTGTAATACATGAAATTGAATAAACCCTGAGGCTGAGTTGTTCCAATTCTATGTATATACATGGTCATATTTTTACTGCCTATAGCCTAGAGTCCTAACATATATACGTATGTATTGCGACGTATGCTATGTGTTTGTGCGCGTTTATGCATGTATTGCCTACGTGTTCTCGGCTTAGCCTTAGCTCACTCGCATGGCGTAATCGAGGGGAGCGTAGTCCGCAGTCTATATATGCCTTTTCCTTGCCCCAGCCATTTCCATTACTGTGGCACAGAGTTCGCGAACCTGCTGCTATTGTTAAAGAATTTCGCTCAGTCTTGTTGTTTGATTTTTCGGCCGTCACACCAGCCTATTTGTTAACGCCAAGAGAGAAATTTATGTTTTTATAACAAGGTCGACACTGTCAGTCCCAAATGTCTCTACCCTCTGTGTCCCCCACTAATTGCGGACTGGTTCGCTGTGCAGCTTGATGGATCGTGTGCGCCGGCCAAAATCATTCGGCGCACGCGATCCATCAGCCTGCTCGCAGCGCTGCATACTGTCGTATGACGCTTCCCGCGGATCGGCGTGCGCACTTGCGCGGAATTATGCGCGCGCAAAGAAATCTGCCGCTATAGCCGCTTGCGGATCAACACCTCCTTTCGGCAACGCCGTCTCTAGTATCCCGTCTCATCTGGATCCGCTCCTGATATATATATATTACGTAGGTCCACGTTTTACAACAGGGCTTACTTAGCGTTTCAGCTTAACACAGGCGTCGTAAATATGAAAATCGCAAAACAAAAACCAGATTATAATGCAATTAAATGAAATTGCTATCAATTCCACCCATAAATGGCACCACAATGCACATGAAAATCAAAAGAGCTAATATTGCCGTTCTTGACTCACAGCGTCTGACCTGCGATGGTTATTGAGTTCAGCGATTTTTTTGTTAGTTTACAATTTTTTACGGTAACTTTTTAAAAGCGTTAATGCTGACAAAAGTCGCTTAATATGGACCAGAGTAAAAACGGCGACCACCTGTATAAATGTATACATACATATTATATATATATATATATATATATACATATATATATATATATATCAGAAGTAGATAATAGGGAAGGAGTGTGACTTCAATAAACAAGGGAAATTCGTCATTTACTAGCCTTAGAATACCTACACGTAACTCAACCAACTTGAGCTCAAATGGTACACAGTACATTCGCCTAGCATCTTGCGAAATAGTTTCTCGTATACACCTGCAATCCGGAGATACAGACTAAAACGTACGACACGATTTTCCATTATGTTAAAACTGAATGTATAAACCGCCTAACTTGAAACAAAAGGCAGCTACTAGCGACTCTTGCGCACTCGGCGATGCGGTGTGTCTTGCTAGTAGCTATTCGTAGGTATTCTAAGGCTAGTAAATGACGAATTTCCCTTGTTTATTGAAGTCACACTCCTTCCCTATTATCTACTCCTGATATAATATATATATATATATGTATGTGTGGCTGTGTACTGTAACGTGAGTGTGGTGGGCGGATTTGTACCCCCGGGGGGGGGGGGCACTTCCTATATATTGTATGGTAGATATGTGCTGCGGTTATGACCCTCCCTTTTCACATATTTTGAGTCCCGGAGCATAGGTCCTACTTTTTTCCGCACCGGAGACTCCCCTTTTCACATATTTCCCGTCCTGGAGCATAGGTCCTACTTTTTTCCACACCGGAGACTCCCCTTTTCACATATTTCCTTTTCCAAAACCCCCTTTTCACATGTATATATATTTCCCGTTCCTGCGCATGTCATACTTTTTTCCGCACATTCTGGAGCCCCCCAAATTCCATCTCTCAAGTGGCACATACCTACCCTATTTTGTAGTGAGTGCCCCTCCCCAGATTTGTTCCCGCTGCCAGTGGTTTTTGTGGTTATAGCTGCCCGCAAAGAGTTGAATGTGATCTTTTGTTACCGACAGGTAAAACAAGCCAGTTATACTAACCATCAATGGGTGTAAAAGGACTGTGGGACATACTAGATCCAGTGCAGAAGTACACCACCCTGCAGGACCTGGAAGGCCAGACTTTAGCCGTGGACATGAGTGCTTGGGTGGTGGAAAACCAACTGCAGGGTGTGCAGAGGCATTTGCTGAATGCACATGTCAGGTAATTTTCTTTTCTAATCAGCAGGAGTGTGGGTTTGCATTTGTATTTAAAAAATGATAAATATGTGTGCTAGCATCTGGACAAGAAATCTGATAGATTTGACATTTACGTACTATTAGAATGAATACCTCTATTTTCCCAACTTTCGATTTGACAGTACAATCTTTTGAAAAAATCACTAAAAATCAGACAGCACTATTATTTATCATTGGTACTTTGCGTGGATTTGTCATTTCTTACAATATTATTTGGTTCTGGGGAAAGCTTTTGGTTCAGAGCAAATTCAAGTAGTTGTGGCTCTATGGCAACTTGCATGCACAATCACTGTTATAGATGAAGGTAGAGAATCGATCGTGGTGAGTGCAATAATAAGTATACTCTGATATGTACTAATTCCAGGAACCTTTTCTTCCGAGTCTCCTACATGATACGCCATAACATCAAGCTAGTGTTTGTAACTGAGGGAACGGCCCCAGCTGTTAAAGCCAGCACCATTGCAAAGAGAAGAGAGAAGCTACCCTGTCACTCAGAATCTAAGCAGCCAAGCAATGGGCATCCAAATATGAAGAGAAATTATCTCAAAGGATTATCAAAGCCAGTACGTAGTAATCATTGCCACTACTATTGCTGATAGGGTCTATGTCCCCCAGGGTACTGCCGGAACGTACTCTGGTACTAAATACTACTATCTAATATGCCGGACCGTACCTCGCCTACTCCACTACGAGTCTAGGGAGTCGCCTACGCCTACTCCCTAACCCTAACCCTAACCCTAACCCTAACTCTAACCCTAACCCTAACCCTAACCCTAACTCTAACCCTAACCCTAACCCTAACCCTAACCATATTAGCTAGATAGTGATCAGGGTATGTTCCGGCAGTACCCTGGGGGACATAGATGAGACCCTATGAGCTCAGCACTACTATTGTGTGTAAAACCTTATGTATGTTTCTGTGCTGGTTAGACATAACATTTAACCACTGGGGTATATTTTACATGCCATGGCGGGTAGCGGACTATAACTTTATGCTCTGTATATATACAAAATTATATGATATATATATATATGTATGAGAAAGTTGAGTTGAAACAATTATATGTATCTAGTATACTTACAGTGCTGCACCAGAGCTGCACCCTATTGCACGCTGTTGTGGTGGCAACATATATATAAACATGTAACATTGTGGAACATAATACATATATGTGGGTGCATGCGCATATTCTGAAAGGTGAGTGGGCATTAATTATATTTCATGTATAAATTAATTGAGAAAGTTGAGCTGAAACTGTTACATTTATATGTTTTGCTTACAGTGCTGCACCCTATTGGAGCACATGGGTATTCCCTGTGTTACCAGCACAGGTGAGGCAGAGGCTACGTGTGCATTACTTAACCAGCTTGGGGTACGTATTACATTTTAACAGTGATTGTGTCATAATGAGTGCAATAATGATAATGTATTTAGTATCATATGGAAAGTGAATTGGGTTTTCATGCTTAAAGATGCTTTTCCATGCATATTTTTGTGACAAACCACTGTAAAAACGTAAGTAAATAACTCACTACACTTTAACTGAACGTTAGCTTTGAAAATAAAACTGTAAAAATATGTATCAAGCCTATATTCGCTCAACGAAAAAACAACTCGAAAGACGCGTTTCGCCGCGGTTCTGTATCATGGCGGCTAGAGTCGACGCAGGTCACGTAACCAGCACAGCCATAGCTATCATATTTACATGTGTTATAAGATATCTATGAGCAAATGCAGCCTTCATGACCTTCAGCACTTGGCAACACCGCATGGCAACAAGAGACATGTCACAATATCGCCGCAGAGCAGGAAAAGTAAATGCTGTTTGAAACATTCGACCCGACACTTTAACTTTGTAGTCTAAAAGCTTCGATTGAACGTATTCCCGGGCATTTTTTTTACCTATATCATACATATATAGGCAAGTACAAACGTGCAATGTTAAAATAATTCATTTTTGCCTGATTTTATGTTTACCGCTTGAAATTTCGTGGGAAGGCACCTTTAATCATACATGGCAACATTTAAAAGTCTCTGTTATGAGTTTTTGTTTGCCGTCTTATCACGCAGATTCACATCAATTTGTGTGGTAGGTGGCGTGATTCCCTATGATGTGTTTTTCTTATGCACATTTTTCACATTTTGCATATCACTCGGGCGAATAACAGTGGTAAAAGCTTGGTTTTTAGCATGGCTTTTGTCTGCTCACAGCTAAGTCGCAGTGATGTGGTGAACCCTTTCGCAACACTTTGCTTTGGCTAAGCAGCTGCAAGACAAGTGACATTAGCAGTAGCAGCAGTAAACTTAGCAGCCCCAACATTAGCACCACCAACAGTAGCAACCACACCAGTAACAGCAACAATAGTAGCAGCCCAGCAGTAGCAGAAGCAGCAGCAGCAGCACCAACAGTAGCAGGAGCAGTAACAGCAGCAGCCTCAGCAGTAGTTGCAACAATACCACACTACCCATCAGCTGAGTACTGATGATGTGGGATGCTAGTTCGAGAGAAGCAATGAGTATATTCTAGGCCTGGTTGTAATGTTTCAGCTGGCTGATGCTGTCATTACAGAAGATGGGGATGCCTTTCTATACGGCGCTCGTACAGTTTACAGGAACTTTTCCATTTCAAAAGTAAGTCTTGATTTGTTTGTAATACATGCAAAGGTACTTGAGGTTTCAAGAGCAGGAATTATATTCGGTCTTGTGAGAATTGTTCCAGTTCTGTAAAAATACAACTTTAAGGGACAAAATGTCCATTGAAAGTGATATTGTCGCCCCAGCCCAAAGTTTTGTTATTGTTATTGGCTGGATGATCATGTTGATAATGAATTCGCTAAACGCATCCCTATTGTGAGAAAGCAAGTGGGTCTGCATTTATAAATAGACATTTTGCAGCACACTAATAATTTTACATTGAGAACATGAAACTTTTATGGGTTTTGGCTGTCACTATTCCAGCAGAAAAGTAGCAGTTATCTCATAATTGCACCTCCCTGTGTAAGCTGTTGTTGTGATTGTTGTGCCGGCAGGATGCTCACGTGGATGCGTACACTACTGACGATATCGAGCGTAGCTTGGGGCTGAGCAGACGACACTTGGTTGCGTTGGCCCTCCTAATCGGCTGCGATTACCACGATGGTGTGCCTCACATTGGCAAAGAAAAGGCCCTGCTCCTGTTCAAAACGCTGGGAGAGGACGACCCTTTGGACAGGTACATACAATGTTCAGAATATGTTCGTCGGATTTAAAGGTTATATTGAGAGTGATCTTACTTGGATGATAAATCCAAGTATGTTGGCTGGTTAGCAACAGTTTGCACAGACAGTTTAGCTGTCTTTGTCATGCTGCATGATGTTGCTTGATTGAACGTTAGTAGCATGCAGTACATGCAGGGCTTGAGTTTCGTCACGTCACCAATGACAGGTGTCGTGGTTGACCGCCTTACTTATGGCCATGCCCCTGAAATTGGAAAGTATTCACGGTAATAAACTGCCACTGTCCTACCTAATATGCATCTGCGCCCTATATTCCATGTAGTGTATGCATCAGTCTTTCTCCTTCATAAAAAGTCTTGTTAAAAACTCAGTGGCCACGATAACCCTTTAGTTAAAGGAAATGTTTGCCTAAGTGAAATAATTGATCTGTAAATGTAATATATGATGTAAATGTGGTTTTATGGTATTTTTCATTCAACTTCTGTCACACGGTCATTGATATTGCCATTATCCACCTTTGCAGATTTAAACGTTGGACAAATGATCGATGGTTTAATGATTTACCGACTGCTGAATCTATTGGAAAATTAAAGCACTGTGTGAGATGCAAGCATCCAGGTTGGTGGCTTGATTTAACTCTAAATGCTGTCTCAATATACGTCACTTGACACTGGCTCGAGATTCTTCAGTGATTTTAGAAGAGGCGAGAGATTATGTCGAGCAATTATTCGGTTCATTAATCGTATCCAACTGATATATTTTGTCGAATGATGAATGTCAACATCCTCAATGCCCGGCACCATTGCCAAACCACGTCTCAACTGTTTTGCGAAGTTGTGTTATAGGTAACTTAGATCAAATCTCACATCACATTTAGTCAAACATGTATTAACAGATGTCATGAGATGGACAGACATGTGTCTATAAAAACCAATTTTGGGCATTTACCTTGATTGTCACTTATACGGTGAAACCACCAAGCTATATAAAGGAAACCTGGCGATAAAGGGAAATTTTGTGGTGTTCCGTGAGTGACCCGTAGCTGTGACTGTATTTCAGGCCAAAAAAGGCAGCATCAGAAGACCGGCTGCATCCACTGCAGCAGCGCCATAAGTTGCGTTCCCAGCGACGATGGTTATGAGTGCAAGTGTGAGTGGCACCAGCAGAAGGTGATAGCAGACAAGCATGCTGTGGAGCTGCGAGTGAGGAAGGAGGCTCTCACTGTGCCAGGATTCCCTAGTGATGAGGTATGTCAGTAAACACAGCGATTCGGATTTCCCGTCATGTCCGCAGTTTCAGAATGTGAAATTATTTAAATGTGTCACGACACAAGACTGTCAGAAGTAGGCAATCCAATCAGATTGGCGGCTAATACAATTACTAGTACTGAATAATAATTCGATTTAAATTTTATTAGTAGTTTATTATTTAAACAAATTTAATACTAACACTAGTAATGAACTAATACATTGAACTGTGTTATAGATATTTTATCTTGAAGTTGCTACTATACTGTGATTATTGCTGGAACTTACAATGTGCATTATACAAAGAGCTATATCCCATTTAAAAAGTGGGGCCCTACATTCTTTCACATCCTTCATTCTCTCATGCGCCTGTGCCGAGAGTACAATGTGCATGGATGCAAATGTCCACAGCCTGGTACACATAATAGTTGCGTTGGCTATTTCTAGATAATAAAAGAATTTCTGAATTTCAATGAGGACATGCCAAAGGAACCATTCGTGTGGAGGCGACCAAAGCTTGATATGATCGTTGTAAGTAAACATTTCCACAGCTTCCATTTTTAACCAATAGGCACTTGGCTTCTAAAATGATTGGCATATATGTCTGAGCACGATAAACCCGCCTCCTGGATACTGTTGCTAGGTTGGGAAAGTTGGCCGACTTCATGGATGTTTTTCATGTGCGCATGCCAGATAGTTGACATTGCAGCTCTTAGTACGTTACTAATCACCATTTTTAGAATGCCCATTGTGCAACACTGATTTGCTCGAGCTACTAGAAGCCTACATTAGTCAATCATTCCAGATGGATGTTATCCCCTAGCGAACATGTGGGAGGAATATAGTTATGCACTGTGTGCTGCCGCCAGGTGTCACCACTGTCATTGTCACCCCTTTGTGTTGCTTATATCTTAGAAGTTATCCACTTTTTTTGATACACGGCCTAATTATACCACCGTCCTGCGGAATATTCTTGATATTGTTTCTCCCCACTATGTCCTTGTTTCTTTAACCCTATTTATTAGCTCACCTTGACATCGTCATTAAACATTGTATTGACCAATGACAGATTCTTAAACAGCCACATTAACTAGGATTGTAACCTCCATATGATTGAAGAGGGGTTACTGTTAACTAAGTGATGATTGCAGGGAATGTTGGGAGCACAGCTTCACTGGGATCCAGTAGATGTTGTGAAAAAAGTCATTCCTCTAATAACTGCATGGGACCTGCAGGATATTGCCACCAGGGGGCGTACCAATCCACAGCACATGAAGCCCATAAGGTATTATAAATGAGATAAACTGTATTCCATGTAGGTTGAATTTCCAAGTTGAATTTGACTGGTTCCGAGTTTCTAGGTTATAAATTAGAAGCTATGATAAAATCATGAGATGACATGAAGATCCTTTGTGAAGCCCTTATAAATGTTCTTTATGCAAGAAAGTGACAAATATTGGACAACAACATGAAATTGTTACATCTAATAGTACATTAAATTGTCAATAATTAAGATGAATATTTCTATCTAGTGTTGTTATTTCTACTTCAGAATTGTACAAAGCAGAGTAGCACAAGGAATAGATAGCTTGGAGGTGGAATGGGAGAAACTAGGTAAAGTATGAGTGAATGCAATGATTTAACTAGTATATATGCAGAAGTAAGCAATAATTATAATATATATAATATGCTGTGTGTTGTTAAAGCCGCACAATGCGCATCCAAATGCTAATTTCTCCAGTACTAGGCTAGCAAATACTTTGTGTCATGCATAATCACACTACCTTATGACAAAATAAACTAGTTCCTCCCATTTCACTGCGCGTTGTCTTATAAAAGGTATTTGAAAATACCTCCAATGTTGTTCAAATTCTCCGATGTTGTTGACAGTTTCGCGTTGCTCTCCCAAGCAACCGTGCAGCGGTGCTGCGGTAGAGCGGTACGGGTGTAGCAAAGATAAAACATGTGACGTCACCTAACCACTTCGAGGCTAAATTGTTTGGCAAACAAGTCGGCGTTGGCGCCAGAATGCCAGTTTTCTCACCTCTTTCTTGTGGGTTTTAAGCAAACACGCAGTGAAATGGGAGGAACTGGAGTTTATTTTGTCATAAGGTAGTGTGATTATGCATGCCACAAAGTATTTGCTAGTCTAGTACTGGAGAAATTAGTATTTGGATGCGAATTGTGCGGCTTTAAAATGCTATAATTTGTTCTTCTTTTACGGGTATATATATATATAGATAGATAGATATACAAATAGATATAGATATTGTGTTTATATCCAATATCTGCAGATGGTGACAGATGGACTACATCTAGTTACTACTCTACCGTTGAGTCAGAGAAGAGTTTTAGCACTGCCTATCCTGACATGGCAAAAGCATTTTTTGATGAGCTTCTAGCCAAGAGGGCAAAGAAGAAATCAAAGCGAAAAAATGAAAATGGTAAGTGAATAGAAGTTATTATATTGGCTTCATATTTCTCTTGGAGAATTTTTATAAAACTGGTAGATAAATTATTATTCCAGTACAGTTGGATTACTATTGTTTTTGTTGTAATAAGTATAGATCTTCTCAATATTATTTTCATCAAAACAACTAATATTTTATTTACCGAAAATGTTTTCAATGTTGCTGCTAGTAATTTTTTTTTCTGGCATACCCACTTTTTCTCTGGCTGAATTTTAGTGTACTTACTTATACTCGGTATGCATGTGAGAAATGTATTAATGACAGATTTTAAACCAAACGTTCCTTGGTCTTTTACAGATCACACTCAAACTAAATTGAGCGATTATTTCAAAGTGAAGAAATTTGCAAGTTAATTTATGATAGATTGTAAGGAACTTAACAGATATATGGATTATGTGAAGCACTGTTTAGGTCCATGTACACTTTCCCAGCAATATATTAGCTTGCGTTGCCAATTTAAGTGGCCGACATGATTGCTTTGAGCATATGTGCTAGCTGTGATGTCAGCGCAGTGCGACTGTTGTATTTTTGTACTGGTTAAATAGTAGTAAATTGGTAACTACCAGAATGGTCGAAATCTGTTGTGTGGATCAGATCTATTACATCTACCTATTGTAGTTATAGGTAGGCTTTACTTACATAACCATTGATAAGCTGCAGTTAACATTGTTAAGCAGCTTCATTAGCGGAAAAGAAGAGAACAATATTTTACCCTATTATGTAGGTCATTATAGATCATGTTTTTAATGTATATATATATATGTATGTACCTATTTATTAGCTCATCTGACGTAGTCAGGTGCAGCTTGTAGAATCGCATGATTGTCCGTCCGTGCGTTCGTCCGGCTGTCCGTCAACAGTTGGGCACAAATCTTAACCGCTCGACGTACAGTCACGATATTCGGGACGTGGGGGGTAATCCGAAAACGAGTAGGGATGTCGAAGCTGGGGGTCAAAGGTCAAGCGGTGTAAAAGAAGGGGGAACATTCCCTCCTTAACTTAAGGTATAGGGAGGAAATGCAGAATTGCGGCACAAATCTAAACGGCTTGACCTAGGCTCGTGATAGTCGGTGTATAGCATCATGGTAGGAAAAGCCATCACTGTGCCTAAATTAGAGGTCACAGGTCAAAGGTCAATGGGGCAGAGGGCAGATTTTAGACATTTTCTGAGGACATGGTCTGACGGAGCGATTGAAAAACTTTTTTGTTTCAGCAGTGACCTACCATTTTTATGGCTTTATTGAAAGGACCGTGAAATGTACTTTCTGCTGACATGCGAAGAGTAAGTGTCGGATAACCTTTTGACCCTCAAGAGGAGGGTTAAACATTGATTTGTTGACTGTTAACAAAGGACTGAACTGCTTTTGCTATTATTAGAGCCCATACCTGTGCGAATGTGAGGCTACAGTTGCACAGTTTAATTGCAAAGGCAAATGTTTGTTGAACAAGGTTTACGCTCCTTAAATCATATTATTTTTTAAAGCAGTCTGTCTATAGCACCCTGAAGGCTGAATCAGTGAATGCTCGTTTGGGTAGGCAAAAACACGGGGCAGCCCATGGCTGGCACGCTTCTAATCATAATTGTTGCCTGCCAACCTGCAATGCACATGTGTCTGCAATGCATAGAGATTAGGTGGGTGCGAAAGTGTAGCTGATATATTTGTTCGAATTGGCTACGAAAGTCAAACAAGAATAAAGAAGACTTATAGGTATAAGACGTCTTGCTATGCACAAATGAATTTATCAGCAGCACACCAGACACCAGATGAGCCCTGTCACACTGTGGCACTTGTTATTTATGTATTGCTTTTAATTGTTCTTTTTTGACTCTTCTGTTATCATTGCAAAAATATGATATATTGCAGTTATATATATATATATACTTATATGTCGAATAAATTGTGGTTAAAATACATTCGTTATGTACTAAAAAGATATGTTTGTGTTTTTATTTTTAGTTTGCAACTCTATTTTGCAGGCAAGAAAAAGAAAGATGGGGACAAACACAGCAAGGTTGCTATTGGAACTCAGAATACTCTTGAAAAAAATTCAATTGGTTGCTCTGATGATATCGAGTCACTCACTCATGGTCTGCAGAGGGTTGGGCTTAGTGGTCATAAAATGACCGAGAATGTGCTCGAAGTCAGAAAGAAAGTCAGTCTCGTTGAGTTGGGAAAATCTGCGAGAGACGAAAAAACATGCGATCGTGTTAGAAAGCCTGCAGAGGATGGAGTTTATAACACCATCGCTAATCGAGAAAGTCGTGACACTGAAACCATAGAACTGCAACCAGATACTTCATTCACATCGGTGTTTGAGGGAAAGGACGATCGGCGATTTATTTCCACCTTTGACTTGCAACCATGTTCGTCAAAACGTGATGGCACTTCGCTCTTGCCTTACCAGGGGACTGACCCTGAAGATGCACAACAACGTGAAGCAGGATGCATCTCCGAGGAAAGCTCGGACGATGGCGAGGATGGAGGCCTGCTGCAGCGCATCATGGCTCGGAGAAAAGCCGCAGATACGTTGACAAGTGGTGACGGACGGGCGCCGACCGCGGCTGCCATTTGTCATGTTGGAGATACTCGGCTAGCGTCAAGCGGCGATCGGATTCGTCTCGTCGATGACAGCGACGGTGACGGTACGGTTTTGCTGACGTCATCGGACGAGTCTGACGCAGGAGAGATAGTCAATGGCGGAACGGAGAAAGGAAAAACCAAAGTATTGACGTACTGTGGGCAGGAAACGCGTTCGGAATCGTCTGTGGCTGTCGTCGAGGCAGTAAATGGCATCTGTACCACCACCGAGGCTGAAAGTGGTTTTGCGTCCGAACCCCGAAAGATCATAAGTGGAACGCTGTCTGCAACAAATCGCCTTGGTGCCGTCGGCGATGGTACTGGTAACCATAACATGGACTCAGACCAACTGGTCGTATGCACACAATCATGGAAGAAGGCAAGTACATGCCAGGGCGAAAACCTCAAACAGTTGTTTTACACTAAGACAGGTGATCCAGTTGCTGACAGCAACCGACGTGAGGAGTCAACATTCTTGTCAGCATTGCGCGCGGAAGTCGATGTTAGAACTACTCCCTTGCAGCTACATCCTCCTGCAGGCAGGCAGACCGGTTGCTGCGCATCGTCACCTTACAACGCCAGCGACGACCTGTTCGCAAGTTATGCCGAGGTCACACCTACTAGGACACTGTGCCCCTCTGATGCGACGTCTGGGTGTGCTAGTGGCTTGCGTGATTGCAATACCACTCGCTATCCGCCTATTCCAGAGTTTATCAGCACTCCAGTTGTCTGCATGCTCGATTCTACCGAGCAGTCCCCCATGTTAGAGTGTACACATACAAAAATTAAACATTCGACTAGCACCCCGAATTTGCTAGAGGGTGGGCATGCAGAACTGAGGAAATTTGTATATAGCAAGGGCATCCATGGAGAAAGAGATGCCTTCTCTCCAACTGGTAACAGAAATGTGTGCCATGATCTAGCACCAGAGGGAGCTGCGTGCCCTCATTGTTCTGCTAATGTAACCACGACATTGCATGCACCAACATGCCGTATACGCATCGATGGAAATCCTCGACCCACGACGGTCTCCAGCGAGAATCTTTGTCGTGTCAATATTCCTCCAGGTAATGCCCAGCAGATGATTGAATTTGGGCTTACCGTGTCATCGGCAGGGATCAATACGTCCATAGAAAGCCTAGCCACTGTAGTTGCAGCTAGTGAGGACCAAGCGAGCAACGTGTGCTCTTACTTTGATAATGTCGACGATAGTCCACTTCCACTTGCCGAGCGGCTAAAGCGAAGGCTGAATAAGTAATCGTGTGTGGTGTAGGATTATATCAACTTGTTAACAGGCATAAATAATATTTACATTATATTTTATATTTACCCATCAACCCACTGTTGTTAATTTACTCATGTGCTGTGATGGAGAAGGGGTGCTATGTGCTTGGGGCTACTTGCCAGCAACACAATAATCTTTGCTGTTATAAGTGAAGGCACTCGGTACTTGATATGGATCTTCCTACTCTCCCACCAGGAAATTACAATATGTAAAAATGTCATATATATCAGTAGTTATTTTCCTTATAATAAAACGTTTTTAAACAAATTGTGTGCACGATGAACATTGAATTTAGCCATGAACTGTGCAAAGTATATTCCTTGCGTTCTACGTCTCATGTTCAAATCTATGATCGGGCTCCTTGCAGCTGTTAATGAAAATGAGTTCAGAAACGATGTATTTACACTGTAATAAGTAAATACATATTTCAAATGATTGCTCAGTGCAGGATATCTATCTCTATCTCTATCTCTTTCTCTCTCTCTCTCTCTCTTAATCAGATCTCTCTCTCATCTCTCTCTCGTCTCCTCTCTGCTCATCGTCTCTCTCTCTCTTTTCTCTCTCTCCTTCTCTCTCTGCTCTCTCTACTCTTCTCTCTCTCTCTCTCTCTCTCCTCTCTCTCTCTCTCTCTCTCTCTCTCTCTCTCTCTCTCTCTTCTCATCTCCTCTCTCTCTCTCTCTCGCTCTCTCTTCTCCTCTCCTTCTCTGCTCCTCTCTCTCCTC